CTGAGGGCTTCAAACTCATGCCAGGCACTTGCCTGTGCGTCCCCAAGATCCCAGGAGGAAAACGGAGGAGAAGGGACTGCGGAGTGGCCATCCCCCCGGGGGGTGGTTTCTCGCTTTCTGTCTCTCTGTCTCTCTGTCTCTTCAGTGAGTGCACGTGCCCTGTAGCACAAACCTCTCAGAAAAAGAACAGAACAAGAAAGTAAGCGGAGGCTGAGATGGGGAAACGTCCCCTCCGGGGCACTAGGGAGGGCGTGAGAAGGAGCTGTGGTTTGGAGAACTCGCTGCAGCCTTAGTAAGACCGAGAGCGAGAGCGTGTCTCCTCCGGGCACCGGGGAAGCCCTCGGCCTTCCCTGCCTGCGCAGCCGCCCCAGAGAAGCGCAGTAGCCCTTCAGCAACCCCATGGGCAGGCGGGGAAGCAGAGGCGCCATCCGGCCCCGGCCAGGGCCAGGCAGGGACAGAGAAGGCTTTGAACTGGAGTCAGGTTCCCTGCACGCTCAGAGCCCCGCGCTCCAAGGACACGATGCCCCCGTGGCAGGACGGGGTCGATACGGGTGGCACGGGCACGCTCGGCGTCGCTGCAGGACGCTTACGAAGAACGAGACCAGAACACGTTCCCGAGGGCCTCGAGAAGCTTCTGGGAAAGTGGAATTGAGCTCGTTCACGCCGGGGTGGGCACGTTCTGAAATCCGTGTGCAGCTCTGTCATAAAATGCATTTTCTTTTACTTCCTTTTCTCTTTTTAGTTTGACTACACGATGCACGTGCCCACTGGAGAGACAGACAGAAAGCGAGAAATCACCCCCCGGGGGGGATGGCCATGCCCCAATCCCTTCTCCTCCATCCTCTCGGGATCTTAGGCACGCACGCACACGCGCCCTGCGTGTTTTAAACTGCTGGGTCCGGGATTCGAACCACACACCCACCTGGGATTAGCTGCCCTGGCCTCCACACCACCTGCTAGCCCCATCATATGCATTTTCTATGAAATTGTTCAAAGACATTTGGTCAGAGGGGACATGTGACCACCAGACAGAGAAAGAAAGCAACCCACAGGTGTGCCTGCCACACTCCCTCTCCAGCTCCGTCTGCCCGGGTTCGGCACTTGCCCATGGGCCAGTGTGGTTTTTAGGCCACCAGGGTAAGATTGGAACCTCGTGCTTGGCCATGTGGATTCTTGCTCCCTTAACTACCAGGCCACAGGGCGAGCCATCTGTGAGTGTTTGGAAAAGCTCTGGGGACCGGTAGATGGCGTAACGGTTACATCGCTAGACTCCCACGTGGTTGACGACGGTTTGAGTCCCAGACCTGGTGGCTTGAAATTCATGCCAGGCACGTGTGCATGAGTGCCCCAGAGTGTCCAGTTCCAGACCTGGCGGCTGGCTTTCTCACTTCCTCTCTCTCTCTCTCTCTCTGGTCAAATTAAAATAAATGAACGAGGGAGCAGCAGTTAGCGTAATGGCTATGTTGCTGGACTCCCACATAATCGAACGTGGTTCAAGTCCTGGACCTGGCGGCTTGAGCTCACGCCGGGCACATGTGCGTGCGTGCCCAAGATCCCGAGAGGAGAATGGAGTAGAAGGGATTGCGGCGTGACCATCCCCCCTGGGGGGTGATTTCTTGTTTTCTGTCTCTCTGTCTCTCTCTGTCTTTCTTGCAAGCGCACGTGCCCTATAGCAAAAACCTCTCAAAAATAAAAAACAATGAATAAATAAAATAAAAAATAATCAAAAAAAAAGAGCAAAACCAGGGCTGTCCCCATGGCCTAGTGGTTAAGGGAGCCAGACCCTCACAGCCGATGGCGGTTTGAATCCCGGGCGCAGAAGCCTGAGAAACATACCAGGCCTCGGAGGCCGGAAGGCGAGGACTACTTTCTTACTCTGATGTATTTCTCTCCAAGCTTGGATGTGTCTCCAGTAGGGCCAGCGGGTGGCAAAGCGGTTAAGGCACTGGACTCCCACGTGGCCACCCGTACTACGCGTCTGGGACCTGGTGGCTTGAAACTTATGCCAGACGCCTATGCGTGTGCGAGCGTGCCCAAGATCCCGGGAGGAGAATGGAGCAGAAGGGAGAGCGGCCTGGCCAGCCCCCTGGGGTGATTTCTCGCTTTCTGTCTCTGTCTCTGCAGAGAGGGCACGTACCCTGTGGCAAAAATCTCTACCAAATAAAACTGAAAATGTCTCCCTGACGGGAGGGAGCCACTGAGTGCGGGGAGCTGGTGGGTTCCGCGTCCCCCTGCCAGGAACCTGTCGGTAGTCTTTAGCCCGGGGTCCACAGACCTCTTGGGGGAAACTGGCAGTTTAATTTAGCGTGTGTGTGAACTCTGATGGGAGGGAGAGTCACACCTTCAGTTGCAGATTCAGGCCTGCTATTTTACCACTTCGCCAATTAATGACGGCAGTGGCAAGACCTGCCAC